TTGTAGTGTAGCTATAATAGTGTAGTTATTTTAAATTGTTCATTGCATGTTTATATTCTTAGGACATAAGGCACTATGGTTAGATGCACACCAATTAACCTAAATGATAAATAATATAAGAAAATAAATAATTGAATAATAATTATAATAATGAATGGTAATTAGATAAATTTACATAGACTAATAAGAAAGGAATTTAGGAGAATCAATTATCATGAATTTAGTTATTCAAATAAAAAATTTATAACTCCTTTTTAGGTAAAGTATAGGACTTACCTTGCTAATATTATGTTTCTTTAACATGTATTACGCGTTAAATATTAAGATTAAGCCACGGTACCTTATTAGCTTGCATTCATTGTAACTTGAATGTAGGTTAACGACGATACTTATTCTCGACCTTTTAGGTCTTAGGTTGAGAGTGTTATAGTTACACGGATGTCTTTAGTGTGGCTATTCACCATATGTCATTTGTATACATGACTAGTTGCTTGTAACTTACCCACATGTGCAAATAAACAAATTTCAAGAACTTTATTTGCAATAAGTGATCAAAATATTCATTTGTAGCTAATGTGTCACATGTCACCACCGGAGAGGATCACTAAAAGTATTAACTTGATTGTCAAATAGAGACAAAAAAAAATCATATTAATTGTAGGGTATGCATTTATAGTGTTAACATTAGGATAAAGATTTTTATCTATATCCATTGTGTCTCTATTTTCCGAAAATTCCAAATTATTTACCTCTATGAGGTCTTGGATTACATTCCTAAATACTACGTAGTTTTTTTATGGTATGTCCAACCACACTATGTCATTTATAGTAGGCTTTATCTTCATACTCTTCTTCAGTTAATACCACTATGTCTCCCTCTACTTTTAATTTTTTTAAAATTAATTTCTAGCAAATAAAAAATTTGATTAGTTTAATTTATATCAAAATAGTAATGTCTCTCTTCAATTGATCTAATTGATTTCAAGGCCTTTACATTTTTTTTTTTTAATGAGGGCATCATAGAATAAAGGATCTCTTTAGATGAATTTTGCCATGTCTATTTCCTGTATTATTAGTTCTTGGAAATAGGTTTCATAAACCAAGTTTCTTTTCTCTTTCTTCTCTAAGTAAATTTCCATACCTAGTTGTCCTTAATTCTAATTCATACACATCCTTGAATTTCATCCCTTCAAACTTCTTCTTGAGTTTAAACTCAAGTCCTTGTTAAGCTATTGCAATATATATATATATATATATATATATATTTAGAGATTTTAGCCCAACACTTAGCCCTAACTTATATGAATTTATCCAAATACTTCTTAGCAGATTCTTCAATATGCTATTTAAATTTAACCAAGTCTAACACCCTTATCTCAAATTTAGTTTTTGAAAAATGGGTCTAGAAAATAGATTGCATTTCTCTGTACATATGGATAAAGGTAGGAGGTAAATTAATATACCTAGAGAGTGCTTCCCTAGTTAGCGAATTAGGGAACAACTTAAGTTTTGGGAAGTCACAACCTTGTAATATGCTCCAAGGGTGTAAAAGGTCTACTAAATAAAGTAAAATTAAGGAATCTAAAGGTAGGAAGATAAGGATATTCCCTATCAATGTACTTAGGATAAGGTTAACTATAAGTTAGTCCGCAAACTTGTTGAATTATTGGTCCAAATGCTTGTTCTACAACCCCTAAAATATACTATAAATCTAGTTACAAGAGTTATATAGAGAGATGATTATCTAGCTTTAGGTCACTAATAGGTTTTCTCCATCTCTCTATGTTATTTTCCCTCTTTCTCTCTCATTTATTGGTTTATAGTTTTGGTTCCTCACTTTTAGAGAATTATAAGAGTCTAAAGTGGGTTATCTAGAACTATTAGTTTCTTCTATCACTATAGGTTTCTAGATAGGTTATAAAGGATGTTTTGGCTCGAAAAGTAGGTTATCTTTTTCACTAAAGCCTTCTACATCTCTATAAGAATCATTATATACTCTTTTAAATGGATTTCCTTTAGAGGGACCTACATATCAACCCTATTAGAGGGTTTTTCACTTTTTTGATTTCTAACCTCTAAGGCTACCTTTTTGGAGATTCTATGGAAAATTTTAAATAGTGTGATTAAAATCATTAATCACACCATCTATTCCTTTTTGAATTCTAGATTCTAAATAATTGTTTACCTCCATCAATATTTGATTTAAGCCTATATGAGATTGTCTTTCTAAGGCTTGTAAAGTGCTCGAGATCATGTTTGATCCTTGTTATGACATTTTTTGTTTTCTTAACATTAGACTTTACTAATGTATATGTGGTTTTACTAATAGCTAATTTTTGTAGTGATTTTATGTTGAGTCAAGCCTCATACTTAATTTCTATCAACTTATAGGCTTCGTTGAACCTAACTTCAAGTTGGTTTTGTCTCTTCTCAACTAATATAAAGATATGGACATCAACTACTTTTTGAGGTCTCATTGATTCCCCTTCATCCTATATAAACATGTTTGTTTGCGAGGGGATGACTTTCGTCATTTCATCCCAAGTCGATAGGACTCTCGATGTTGCTTTTTTTTTTTTTTTGTTACATCTAGAGTTATAGTTGCCGTAAAAAGCTGTTGTAGGTTATTTTATGTCAACCTTAACTAAAAATATTTTGTAATAAAAGAATACAAAAGATGATTAAAAAGTGTTTTATAGGGTAGTCAATCTCCTAACTATGTAGGCGAGATAAACCAAATTAACTTTATAAAATAAACCATTACTACTCCTAATAATATTTTTGGTATTTTATATTATAAACAAACTAAATTAAACTAAATGCAATAGTTTTGGAAAACCCTTCACATGATCCTCGAGCTAGTTGAGATGTAAGATTGCATGAATGATAACCAAAATTAAAAGATGAACCAAACTAATAATTGAGTTATTTATCCTAACATACAATCAAAACAATAGCACTAAATTAAAAACTAAGAAATTAAATGATTAAAACACTAAGAACTACATGTTACAATTATGAATGAAAACCCAACAATTGCGAGACATAAAGGCTTTATAATGCAATATTGTCTGTTTTTAGAATTTTTTTACTTGAAAATAATAGAATTATAATAAAAGAAAATTGCAAATATTCACAAGTTGACATTTCAGTCATGACAAATCTCAAAGGAATTAAGGATGGTGATCATTGTAAGCATGAATAGATGACTAAGAACCAACTACCAACTTCATCGATTAAAGCCTACAAATTACTACCTACAAAATATGGTCTCGCAAGCTATTGCCTAAAAATTATTGTCTACTACCTACTATTTTCACAAGTTTCAAGTGTTGAAATTCGTGATGGTGCTAGTTGAATTGTTTGCAATTTGCAAGAGTTATACTTTTGTGATGTAATATTGTGTCTTCTTCTTCTTCTTCTTATGTTATAGTTGGTATTTATAGGATTTCTTGCTCCTCCATAATCTCTTATGGACCACTTTATTTGACACATTCTATGTTGATCTATTATTATTATTATTTTTTATCGTGCTACAAGACATCCATGTTCTTATTTTCTTGCATTGCAATGCATTACATTTCTTGTTATATTTTGCTATTCTTTCACCGCAACCTCCCTCGTTTCTAATAATTGTCCGGATTGTACTCTTATTGTGACTAGAATTCGTTATTCTTTAACTACATTTACACTAACTTGTTATTGATTACTCTTTTATTTAAAATATGGTCATTGTTTCGCATTTTCCTTTGTCTTTGACTTGTTGATAGTCCTTCCACATGCCTCTCTCTAACTTGTTGAAAGCATATTAGTTGTTTCATCTAAACATATTTGTTAGGCCAAGCATTGTTAGGCCTAATGAATTAAGAGTCGTCTTTTCTAAATAGAAAATATCCAATGGACTTTAAGTGAAGTTAATCAAGAAGAAAATAAGGACAACCCATTAAAAAATTTGATGGATATATCCATATTTTCTATCTAATTTATTGGGTCAAAACTCAAAATATATATAGGTTATTTTTGATTTTTTAGACAAACACTAACAATATTAATAAGACAAGATTTTTTAAAAATCATAATAAAAATTTAAACTTATTCATTTATAAATAATTTTAAATAATCTTTTAAACATTAACTATCAATTAGTTAAATGATAAATATGTGACTAGTACATACGTCTAAATAATTCTTCAAAATCTAAATTTGTTAAACGGTAGTTGTGACTGATAATAATTAAGAACATGATAAGTTTAATAATTAAGAACAATCTATTGAAAAACTTGATAAGTTTATTTATCTTTTCTATTTAATTTATTAGGTCAAAACTTCAAATATATTTAGGTATAATGATAGACTATTTTGTATTTTTTGGAAAAACACAGATAAGATTAAAAAAAGCTAATTTTTCTTAAAAATGATAATAAAAATTCAAATTTATTCATTTATAAATAAATTTAAATAATCTATTAAAAAATTATTATAAATTAGTTAAATTATAAACGTGCGACTATCTATATATATTTGTAAACAATTCCTCTAAGTCGAAATCTGTTAAACGGCAGTGGCGACTGATGTATGCATATCAACAATTCCTCAAATTCTTTCAGGGCAGCCCTAATATCTTCGGCGCTCCGCGTCCGTCTCCGCCAGCGAGGAAAACGAAAAAAAAAAAAATTGGAAAAGAAATATCGTAAGACAAGAAAGAAAAGAGCTTCGGGTTCAGAAGTACTTCACTAGAAATTCTCTTCTTTGATTAACCGATCAGACAAAGGACTTGCGAGGAAAACGAAAAAAGAAAAGGAATTAGATTTCGTACCTAAACCCTAGTAGAACACGGTAAATTATCTCAACTTCGATTCTTTACTACGCTTTCTGCTTTTTTCCAACGAATATCAGCCGTGGAAGTTTAATTTAGTGGTTTTTTTTTTCATAGGAAGGAATCCTCTCTCTCTTGATTTTTCTTCTTCTTATAATATAAAAATAACAAAGCAGGAGGGAAAATGGGGGATGATGATCTGAAGACATGGGTATCAGATAAGCTAATACCTTTGCTTGGATATTCACAACCAACTGTGGTTCAGTACATTATTGGAATTTGTGAGTTTTCTTTCCGCTATTATTATTATTATTATTATTATTTTTACTATTATTATTATTGTTCTGGTTTATGTATTTATATACCTTTCTTGTTGGTCGTAGCCAAGGCCGCAAGTTCTTCAGCTGATGTGTTTAGTCAACTTGAGGCTTTTGGGCTGCCGTCATCGACCGAAACCCATTCTTTCGCTCAAGAAATCTTTGCTAAAGTTCCCCGGAAAGCATCTGGTGGTTTAAATGTGAGTTATTCTTGTTTCTTTTTTTTTTTTATTTTTTTTAATTTGGGATTTATGATTATTGTGGATTATATGTTTGGTTGGCCACTTTTGTGGATTGGTTGCAATTATTCTGTTTGTTCAATGGATGATGTTTTTGATTCTGTTGTCCTAGCTTTATCAAAAACAAGAAAGGGAAGCTGCTGTGTTGGCTAGGAAGCAGAAGACTTATCAACTTTTGGATGCTGATGACGAAGAAGGCGGCGACGATGGTGCTGGTGGTATTGACAAGAAGTCTTCGATTGCCTCTGCATCTGATAGGCACAAGAAACGGTTCAGGAAGAAGATTGAGAGTGAAGAGGATGAAGACAACGAGGCAGAGTGTTTATATTGTTACTGATAGAATTCCCGCGTCTGCGCCCCCACCCCCCCCTCCCTTTTTTTTTTTTGACCAAATGCAATGCTGCAGGTGGTCAAACAAGCGGAAGAAGCAAGACGTGTTAAAAGACGGACTTCCCCAGATGAAGATGATGATGAGTCTGAGGTATGCCTTTGTTGCTCCAATGCCTTATATTAATTAATTTGATCCTTTCTCCCCCACAATTTATTTATTTTCTATTTAGTAATGAGATTCTTATCATCCATTGCTGGTCTATCAGTACATAATTTACTAATTATTCATAAACCTGTTGCAAAATGATTTATACTGCCATGGGAAGTATTTTGGTTAGGTCACTGGTTTTTTAGCAGTTTTTACTATTTGATTTTCAATATGGCCTTTATATCTTATGTTGTGTGTAGTCGGAGGAAGAGAGATTGCGTGATCAGAGAGAGAGGGAGCAATTGGAGAGAAATATTAGAGAACGTGATGCTGCAGGGACTCGTAAGGTACGCATCTGCATCTAATGACCTATCTTGGTAATCTATGCTGTTGTTTTTGGGATTTGTTATGACCTCTTATTTTACTTTTTCGCTCGGCCATTGTTTGAAGTATGACTTCTTCTGAAGCCCATGCATAATCTTGCAAGGTCATTATTTTTAGTATTAATTGTAAACCTCACAAATATGTAATTGCAAATGTTCATGGTACTTGTTTCTTTTCTCACGCTCTTGTCCGGTCTTTTTACAACAGCTAACAGAGCCAAAGTTGAAAAGGAAGGAGGAAGGTATAAAATCTTAGGAGTGCTTATGTTGACACACTAGCATGCACAAAAGTTCTATAACAATGCTCTGTATTATGGGATTTCATTTTACTTATTATGCAACAGAAGAGGCAGTTCGAAGATCAAATGCTTTGGAGAAAAATGAGCTTGACACTTTGAGGTTTGTGTTTGATTATCTGTTGCTCCCTTTTATGTTCCTTGTTTAATTACTGGGTAGTGTTGCTGATCCTTTTCTTCCTTGGCATTGATTCAGAAAAGTGTCACGGCAAGAATATCTAAAGAAAAGGGAACAAAAGAAATTGGAAGAAATCAGGTATTGCATAATCACATATTGCTGTTACCTTGCTTTAGTTGTCTTGCTTACTGGTGATTTTAGCCTGAAAAACATAAAAACCTTGCTTATGGTTGACATTGTTCTGTAATCTTGAACTTCAGGCTGCAAATCATGAATTGCATATAGTATATACGTTTATGTTTTTCTTCTCTCTTTTCCTTTGCTTTTTCAGAGATGACATTGAGGATGAACAATACCTCTTTGATGGTGTGAAGCTTACTGAAGCTGAATATCGTGAACTAAGGTAATAAATTCAACTCATTGTCTGGGATGTATCTCTACTCTTTTGCAAAATTTCCTCCTTTCTCTTCACATGCAAAATGTTTTATACCCACATGATCAAAATAGTAACAAGTTGTTAATTGGTCAATGTGATAGCATCTTTCCCAGAGGGCATGTGTTGGATATTGAAGTTTTGTGGCACCATGTAATATTTCCTTGAACATTCATATGGAAAAAAACAGCTTTACTGTATCTTCTACAGTTTTATGTCCCCACCCCCTCTCTCCCGCACACTCGCTTGCATATGCATGCACATAATGGATTTATAATGTCAATCATGTTAGTGTGTGCTGCAAGCATATGCATTAGCTGGATTTGCAATTCTGCAAAGGAAATTAAGAGCATCTATATAGACAGATACTAGATGCAATACTTTTCAAATTGTTTGCTGCGCAGTGCTTATGTGTAGCCCTTTGATTCTGAGTGTATTCATGTATCTCTTCATGTTTGTGGTTTGTGACTGTTAGCTGCTAGTGTAGCCAAGCAGTGATTTTATGTAATTGTTTAGTCAGGGAATGGTTTTATATGATTGGTATCATTTGTCTCCTTAGTTGAATATCTCTTTTTGGTTACTCTTTTATGGCTTCACCAATGTGGCCATGTTGCAGCAAAAAATGCGGTACAATGGCTAGGAATGCTTCCCATCTTTTTGTTTTTTCAGTTGAAGTCATTTCTTATGAGGATTGTGGTCCTTTTGTTTTGTACTATTGGACATATGGAGAACATACTTAAACTTGTAGCCATCAAGTTCTTTCTCCAGTTTGGGCAAAACAGTACAATGTTTCATATGATTTTCGTACCATTTGCTCAAAGCTTCCCCATTCTCAAAATATCTTTCTCCTGTAGTGGCTTCTGGTCATATTTTTATACTTGGTAATGCTGGGTAGTTTAGTTAGTAGAAATAGATTACTATTAAGCACTATGGATGCCTTATTTTAACAGATACAAGAAGGAAATTTACGAGCTTGTGAAAACGAGGTCAGAGGAGGTTGAGGACATGAATGAGGTAATTTACCATTTTTTGGTGGTTGTCTATTTACTTTTGTTGTCTTGATTGAGTATTGGTCATGTTAATTTATGCTGCAGTAATTATTTCAGAAGATGACTCTTATCTCTTTCACATTTTCCCAGCATAATGATATACTTGAATTTGGAATTGACTATTAGTTATAAAGTATCTGTCACTCGTAATTGCGATTTTTATTTATTATCAGTTTGTAGCATTAGGAGTTCTACTTTGTACCCTTTTGGTGTGCATGGGTGCACCCTTTCTTGTGTTCCTAGCAATGTAATCCATAAATCAACAACAACAAAAGCCCCAATCCCAAACTGGTTGGGGTCAGCTATATGGATCCTTCTGCTCTGTTTCATGCAATCACATACCAAATTTGCCCAATGCAATGCATATATATATATATATATATATATATATATATATATATGTTAATACTCCTAACTACTCAGAACTTATACAATTATAAAATCTTGGAGCTCTCTCTCACATGTATACAGGTGTCCCACACATGGAAGAACACATGCACGCCCATTGTCCACTCTGCCACCACCCGTGTGAATAAAATGTCATATCGTTGGGACTTGTTTCATTAATTGTGTAGTTAACAGAAATTTTAACTAGCTAGATTAATGAGCAGTGAACATATTGTTCAATTTTGTTGTGTTTCCCCTTGCATCGACAAAGGTGGTTGTGTTACTCCATTCCTTTATTCTGACATAGATTGGTCAATATTCTGTTGTCATTCCCAAGTAAATGTGTTTTAGATGCTCTTGATCAAAATCAAGTGAGCTTGCTTATTTAGGATACTCTCTACAAGGTATGTTCAATCAGAGTTGTTTCTCTTGCTCTACACTTATGTTTGTATTCAGAAGTTTAAAGATATAACAATTTCCTTTATTTAGGTATTCAAATGAGGAGAGAAATGAAGGGAGGGGATCAGAAAACTTAGATGTAACCTCTTTTGAGATCCATCTTTTAGTTTCTCTCTAGAAGTGGAGAGATTGATGAGAAGTTTTTGATTTTGCAAATTTGATTTTTAAATTTAATCAGATACGAAATCACTTAGTTACATCATTGCTAAACCATTAAATTTCCCTTCTCACCATCACGTCTTCTTGAAAGTATTCAAATTGGTTGAGGCTTTAGAAGGAAAATTCACTGTACATTTCTTTCAGTCACAACTGAAATTGCCAGACATTCTAAGCATTTTTCATGACAAAAAAGAAAAATGATCTAAAAGATGCATGTCATCTATCCTGTTCGTATACATTTCTTTCTAGTCATTATATGTCATTGTTGCTCGCTAACTCTTGACATGCCATCCAACATTGTTTCTGGAGTGCAGTACCGGATGCCAGAAGCATATGATCAGGAAGGAGGTGTTAATCAGGAGAAGAGATTTGCTGCGGCTCTGCAGCGTTACAGGTGACTTTGAAAGGAAGCATATGGTGATTGAAATCACCGAAAGTGTTGTGCAGAACATGAACCACATTTTGTTGGAAAATTTTAGTATTCATAATTAGCATATTGCTTCAAGACTGGAGTGGTTTGGTCTGACTTGTTAAACTATTTCCTACTTTTTGTTCATTGTAGGGACAGCAGTGCTGGGGATAAAATGAACCCATTTGCAGAACAGGAAGCTTGGGAAGATTATCAAATTCGTAATGGACTATTATATAACATTACATTCAACCAAACACATCATCAGTGACTCCTAATTCCAGTCATTGCTGTTTGTTGTGTTATTTATTTATTTATTTATGCACTCTAATTCTTGAGTTGACATTTTGCAGGAAAAGCAACATTGAAATATGGTTCAAAAAATAAAAAGCTAATATCTGATGATTATCAGTAAGTTAAACATCTCTTCACCATCACAATATTGACGAAATTTCCATCCCAATGATTTTTGTCTTGTTTTAATTCTTAGTTGGATTTCTCCATTCCTCATTTTGGTTTCTTATTTGTTTTCCTCTTGGAAGTTAAACAAAGTTATCGGAGGTCTTGTGATGCTTTATTTTATTTTATTTTATTTTTCATGAACTCACAAATAATTAGAATCTTTTAAATGTGTCTAGGTTTGTGTTTGAGGACCAAATTGAGTTTATCAAGGCATCGGTAGTGGGGGGTGACAAGGTATATCTTTTTTTTTTTTTTTTAAAAAAAAAATCTTTAGTGATCATGCAGTTTTCTGCTGAAATTCTCTTATCCTTGTTTTTGTTTCTTTGAAATGCAGTTTGATGATGAGCTGCCCACTGAGTCACTTGATGAGTCTGATGCAATATCAGCTTCAGAGAAGCTTCAGGTGTGCTGATGCTGGATCTTCATTTACAGCACCTAAATACTATGGTTTACAAGTTGCAACGGATTTGATAGGTTTAGAAATTGGGGGAATAGGTTATGGGTGGGGATTGGAATGTGTTGGGACTTGTAAATGCAAACATAATGAAACTAATACTAACAATCCTCAGAGCAATGAAAATGACAATGCATTAAAATAGCTCCTCAAAAAATAAAGCTTCTCTTTGTGATGATCATTTTGCAAGGCATGAAAGACCATTTTGTTTTGTAAATGCTTGACCTGATGTGTTTTCTTTTCTTACTAGACATTGTAGTCTTTTAGGATTTTCTGATTAACAAACCCTTGCAGTGGTTTTGGGAGCTTTTGCATGTCTAGTAGTCTACCAGAAAACATGTGATTTACTGTTATGTTGTTAACTATCACTTGCATTTTTTTTTCCTTCAGGATGATAGAAAAACCTTGCCTATCTATCCGTATCGAGATGAACTGCTCAAAGCTGTCAATGATCATCAGGTATTTCCTTGTTACATTTAATGCTTACACTAGTTAGTCCCTACATGCTGCTGACAGTTATTTTTTGCTCATATGTAAACTATATTCTTTGTTACATGAACTTGTCTTGTTCGCTAGAGTTCCATCTGTTTTTGACACGAGACAATGTGGGCAGGTTGGGGTTTATGATATCAAGAATGGCTGCCCTTTACCCTGTGTCCATTAATGAAAATAGGAGAAGAAAAAGGGGATTAAAATACTATTGAAACAATATGTTTGCCTGATTTGGCATCATTGGAGTTAACCCCTTATTTGGACAGGTTATACTTTTTTATGAGATAATTACCTGAGGTCAGAAGACCAAGGAATAATATTATTCCACAGTTCTGGCCCAGGAGTAGACGACATATTCGATCCTGTTTTTACCAAAGCTAGGAAAGGTTAGGTAGAGTCGGAAAGAAAGCAAATCTTCCAGTATTTTTGAAGTCTGGATACATTTCTTTGTTTTGAAAACTTGGAAATATGATTTTGATACCTATCAAAGAAAAACTGTCAAGATGATTATTTGTCTAATTGGTATCTTACTGCTGATTTTTTATTTATCACAAGAACAAGAGGCCTATTCATGTATTTCCTTTTTCTAATCCTAAAGTGCATCATATATATTTTCTCTTAATTGGGGTTAAAAATTATTAAGAGTAATGAGCTTACTAGAACATGATTATACAAAACCTCGAATGAAAGAACACTTTCAAAGTATTGCACATTACCTAAATTTTTGCCCTCAGATTCTGTATGAGGCCTAGTATGCTAGGGTAGATATTATTTGGTTGTTTTGTTCCTTGTATTTTCCTCTCAAGTGATGTCTGCCTTGCTTTTCGTTTATGTTGGTAATATGTTATCTTAGCAGAAGGGGAAAAGTGTTTTACTTGAGCTATCCAAACTAATAGATAGAGGCAGCTCGTCTCTCAAAAGCCTCCTACTAGATTCCTTCTGCCCTAGCCAACCAAAATATATAATAATAATAATAATGATGATGATGATAATAATAGTAATAATAATAATAATTAAGAGGTAGTAAGGCAAGAATTTTCCTCTCGAGCGTTCACCCCACAGAACCCCCACAGGTTCAATTGACTTTGCATCCCAAACAGATCCCCACCACTGAGAAGATATGTGCATCAATTTTGTGCTCCAAAGGCAATGAATAAGCAAGCAGCAAACTACTTCAAAAGCATTCCTACATAGAAATCATCAGTTGGCCAAGATAATCCCCTGGGAAGTGCATTTGTCTTCCTAGTAGCTTGCCAATTGGAAGTTGCTTCTTGCAGCGAACTAGGAAGATAAATGCATTTCCTGGGGATTAGCTTGACCAAGTCTTTTGATCAAATGATTTCACATTAAAGCATCTCTTTTTGGACCTCAAAATTCTTTCCCATCCCCTCCATCCAGTAGTTTAAGCATATAAATGCCTTCACCCAATTTCTGAGCAGTGTTCAATGATAAGATTTATAATGTCTTGTCAGATGGGGCATCTCCAGCCACTATTGTACTTGAGTCTGTAACATGGCATGTACTTGCATGTGCATGAGTGGATGTATACGCTCAATTAATGGGGTCATTTTTTTTTTTTTTTAAAGATCTTTGGTAATCTCTTTTGCAGGTTATTATCATAGTAGGAGAAACAGGTTCAGGGAAGACCACACAGATACCACAATATCTTCATGAAGCGGGTTACACCAAGCGTGGAAAGGTATAATCTTGTCCCCTCCTATGTATTTCCCATTGTTGATACTAATTGTCATCTTTATCTTGTTCGAGTTGTTGTCACCATCTGGTGAATTATTACTCACTTGTCAACAATTCAAGTACTATTTTCTTTTCATATTTTATGTACAAATGGACATGCTTGCAAAATTTTTTTGGAAATGGAAAATTTTCTTGTCAAATTTGGATTGGGCTTTTGGGAATCAACAACTGATGCAATTATTGCAACTTAGTCTGCTATTATGCTAATGTTCATCTTGTGGTATAATGTGCATTTTCTGCCTGAAGCTGTAGTTAAATTTCATATTTACTTGTTCAAACTGAATCTTAATTATAGTTATTTAAGAAGAGAGACAAAGCAGGAAAGGCCTAGCACACCAATGTATTTGTATGTACTTGTACACACAACTGATAGAACATTGAGACAGTAATTAGAGTGTAGCCAATAGGGCAGTGGCCCAGTACATTGGATGCATCCATCCAGCTCCATTCCTATAGGGTCAGTTGTGCTTGATGAAAAATGATAGGGAATGCCCCTAGTTTTGTTAGATGTGGGTCAATTTAGGTCGTATTTCTCACTGCTGCCAAAGAAACTATTGGAACTGGGGGATGTTGTGCCATTTTTATTGTTCCTTAATTCTACTTGACTATGATTTGGAACATGGAAAATGATGTGCTCAAGTAGGCTCACTTAAAAGTCAGAATGTGCTATTTACTTTTAGAGATAAACCAAGGTTTTGCCTAAATGATTTGAGGAAGCAGGCTGGCCCATGTCTGACTTTTAAGGAATGTCTTCTATTTTTTTTTTTCCTCGCAGGTTGGTTGTACACAACCTAGGCGAGTTGCTGCTATGAGCGTTGCTGCTAGAGTTTCTCAAGAAATGGGTGTCAAACTTGGGCACGAGGTATGTGACTTTTTATTTTTTATTTTTCTCTTTTTTACCTCATTTTGTGTATTTTAGTGAGTGTAGGTTTATGCCTTCTCACATCATGCACTGTATGGTTTTGCATTCACTTTGTCCCTCGGATTGCTGTTGTTAGAATTGGACACCCTTGCTTACATTTTAGGATTTAAGGATTTATGCTACACTAACCCTCAGGCATGTGCAATATGCATGATCTGCTGTGCCTTCACCATCTTAATCTTTAATATGTGAATGATAATGAGAAAAGAATTCAATTAACATACAATATATCAATTTCTCAAGTTCTTCCTATATAGTGAAATATATTCTTTGAACCTAATTGGAAGTCTTAGAAATGTTTAAACTAATGAAGAAAGAGATTACGATTACAAATCAAAGTTTTGTGCCTTTAATTGGTCAAATGTATTGGATTTATGGTTGATTTGGAAAAGGAGATATATATTAGGTGACCCATGGATTTGTTTTTGTTTCGGTAAATTTGACATAGGAAGAAAAGGCAAAAAGATAGCAAATGAAGACAAAGGCTGGTTATCTGGCCTGTATGGCTAGAAAAGAAAAAAGTCTTTCAAATCAAATATAAAAAATGGCTGTGACAGCAGCAACAGCCCTTAAATACTAGGCAAAATCCTGAATAAAAGAAATCCTAGCCCTTAAAAATAACTAAATCTTAGCCATCTAAGTAACATAATAACTAATACACATATGAACTGGTAAAGGAAAAACACTAATTATATGAAAGCTGCTATAGCATGCTAAACTACAATGCTACAATAACTTATCAAAATTAAACTACTTTATAGGATCTGCTCTTAGATCAAAATGATCATGAACCTAAACCATGCAGTTTTTTTTAAGGCACATTGCAAGGATATATTGATTGGACAGTAAATAAAGACAATGCATGTTCATGACGAAATTAAAAGAGAGTGACTTGTATTTTGAAATCTAGCAATAATTATGTTTTAAGGTGTACTCGTATGATTATTTGAGATTTTTTATTATCACAGATTTAACGCGAGGAGGATTCTCCTTGAAACTCCTAGAATTTAAGACAAGGGAAGCTTAATTTGTGGAAGTACGCTAGAATTTGTAATAACCTAAAAAAGTTGTTTAGTGGCTAAACTCTAATTATTGAGTTACAATAATTTATGAAAGGGTGACTTGCTAATAAACAAAATTATATAGCCACTTTTCTTCTGAAATTTTTTAACACGTTGCCTTTTATAAATAGTTTAGCTTGTTGTAGATAATACACTGGAAAAAATAAAAAAGGAAAACATCCTTTTGCCATGGAAAGAAAGAATTCAGAAACAATTTGCTCATGATCTGATTCATGCAGCATTGGTGTTTTGAATCATTGGTTTGTTTCTGCTGAATTTGCAACAGTAAATGGCATTCATGTTATCTTCAGGTTGGCTACTCTATTCGTTTTGAAGATTGCACATCAGAAAAGACTGTTCTAAAATATATGACTGATGGAATGCTCTTGCGAGAATTTCTTGGTGAACCAGATCTGGCAAGCTATAGGTGAGCTATGTCTTGCTGCCTAGTTCATGGTTTTGATTCTGTCTGTTCCGCTGGTTTACTAAAGCGATCAGGTTTTATTTTGAATTAGTGTTGTGATGGTGGATGAGGCACATGAAAGAACTTTGTCAACTGACATACTGTTTGGATTAGTAAAGGCAAGTAGATTCTTTCAACTTTATAGCTGTAGTTCATTTGTATATATTTATGGATAAATAAAACTATGAATATGTATATATTTTTTCCAGATAAAGGTGTATTCTTTTCTTCAATGCATTAATGCATATTTTATTTTACTGCAAGTAATCCGTGAATATATTCTAGCATGTTCAGATCTGTAGGAACAATATTACCACATTAGGATTACCTGTTTTTGTTTGTGTACTAATTATACTCTTGATTATTAACTGATTGTTCAACCATCTATGTTTCCATGTTATAGGATATAGCCCGTTTCCGACCAGATTTAAAGTTGCTTATTTCAAGTGCAACACTTGATGCTGAGAAATTTAGTGATTACTTTGATTCTGCTCCAATTTTCAAAATTCCTGGGAGGAGGTTTCCTGTTGAGATACACTATACAAAAGCCCCAGAAGCAGATTACTTAGATGCAGCGGTTGTAACTGTACTTCAAATCCATGTGACACAGCCACCTGGTGATATTTTAATATTTCTCACTGGTCAGGAGGAAATAGAGACAGCTGAGGAGATTTTGAAGCATAGGACAAGGGGTTTGGGTACAAAAATTGCAGAACTTATTATTTGCCCTATATATGCTAACTTACCAACAGAGCTCCAAGCTAAAATATTTGATACCACTCCAGAAGGAGCACGGAAGGTAGTCCTAGCTACAAATATTGCAGAAACATCTTTAACAATTGATGGGATCAAGTATGTCATAGATCCAGGTTTTTGCAAGATGAAATCATACAATCCTAGGACTGGGATGGAATCTTTGCTGGTCACACCCATTTCAAAAGCTTCAGCAATGCAGCGTGCTGGCCGGTCTGGACGAACTGGTCCTGGAAAGTGTTTTCGATTGTATACTGCTTACAATTATCTTCATGACCTGGAAGATAATACGATACCAGAAATACAGAGGACAAATCTGGCCAATGTTGTGCTCACTTTGAAGAGTCTTGGAATCCACGACCTAATAAATTTTGATTTTATGGACCCTCCACCTTCAGAGGCATTACTTAAGGCTCTGGAACTGCTCTTTGCACTGAGTGCACTAAATAAACATGGCGAGTTGACTAAAGTTGGTAGAAGAATGGCTGAGTTCCCCCTTGATCCCATGCTGTCTAAAATGATTGTTGCTTCTGACAAGTACAAATGTTCAGATGAGATCATTTCCATTGCTGCTATGCTTTCTGTTGGAAATTCAATCTTCTATCGTCCAAAAGATAAACAAGTTCATGCTGACAATGCCAGAATGAATTTCCACACTGGGAATGTGGGGGACCATATAGCTCTTCTCAAGGTTAGTTACATATGTAACACACAAGGAATGGATTCATATGCGTATAATTATTGTGAAAAATAGGGTTAGCTAAAGGTATGTGTATTGCTCTATCTTTTCATTATGCGGGTACAAGCTTATATAATACAGTAGTGCAGCTATACTAGGAAACTACAGCTGTACATTAACTAATAGATTTGATTTAGCTAATTTATAGGAGCTAATTCCTCAACTCAATCTTCTAGACCGTATCTTCCAACACTCCCCCTCAAGCTGGCTGGAAAATATTTTCCATAGCTAGCTTGCTTACTAACACATTGAACTGATTGTTAGGAAGGCCCTTTGTAAGGATATCAGCTACTTGCTGAGCTGTAGGGATGTAGGGAATACAAATGAGTCCACTTTCAATCTTCTCCTTGATAAAATGCTTGTACACCTTTATGTGTTTAGTTCTATCATGAAGCACTGGGTTGTGTGCAATCGAAATTGCCGCTTTGTTGTCACAGTAGACCTTCATAGTTGTAGCAATAGGAACCTTGAACTCCTCTAGAAGTCTTTTAATCCATATAGCCTCGCAAATCCCATGAGCTAGAGCTCTAAATTCTGCCTCAGCACTGCTTCTAGCTACCACATTTTGCTTTTTGCTTTTCCAGGTTACTAGATTCCCTCCAATGAAAGTACAGTACCCAGAAATTGACTTTCTGTCAGTTTTTGCTCCAGCCCAGTCGGCATCTGTATACACCTCCACTTGGAGGTTATTCCTTTTTGGAACATCAACCCTTGTCCAGGAGTTCCCTTCAAGTGCTTTAGGATTCTATAAGCAGCTTCAAAATGCTCTTGACTAGGAGAATGCATGAACTGACTTATCATGCTTACTGTAAAGGTTATATCTGGTCTTGTATGAGATAAGTATATTAGTCTTCCCACCAACCTCTGGAACTTATCTCTATCAATCACATTCTCAGGTTTGGCAGGGCTGAGCTTCACATTTGGCTCTACTGGTGTGTCAACTGGCTTACACTCCAAGAGACTAGTTTCATCTAGTAGGTCTAGGATATACTTTCTTTGATTCACAAAGATCCCCATTTTTGATCTAGCAAATTCCATCCCTAGGAAATACTTCAATGGTCCTAGGTCTTTAATTTCAAAATCTTGAGCTAGCTTCTTCTTCAACCTCTCTGTCTCTTCTTCATCATCACCAGTTAAGATAATATCATTAACATAGACAATTAGAATTATTTGTTTACCTTCTGGTGACCTTTTGTAGAACATGGTGTGGTCAGCTTGACCTTGGCAATATCCATGGCTCTTGACAGCTTTTCCAAACTTGTCAAACCAAGCTCTAGGGGATTGCTTTAATTCGTATAGTGACTTCTTCAACTTACAAACTTTATCCAGTCCATATACACCTTCAAAGCCCGATGGAAGCTTCATGAATACTTCATCTTCTAAGTCTCCATTCAGAAAAGCATTCTTCACATCTAGTTGATGTAATTTCCAATCAAAGTTCACTGCAAGTGACAACAGAATTCTGATTGTGTTTATTTTTGCTACTGGAGCAAATGTTTCCTGATAATTCACTCCATGGGTTTGTGTAAACCCTTTTGCCACCAGCCTTGCCTTTCTTCTTTCAATACTACCATCAGCTTTAAACTTGACAGTAAACACCCATTTGCAACTAACAAGTTTTTGGCCTTTAGGCAGATTCACCAGGTTCCACGTCCCATTCTTCTCTAAAGCATTCAATTCCTACATGACAACTAATTTCTAGCCCGGGTCATTTAGTGCTTCCTGAATGTTTCTTGGAATAAACAGATTAGTGACCTTGGAAACAAATGATCTATGTTTTTGGGACAATTTACTGTAAGATAAGTGTTTAGACAACGGATGATTGGTACAAGACCTTTTACCTTTCTTAAGGGCTATAGGTAGATGATGATCTGCAAACAGTTCAGTAGAAGTATTGATAGGACCAATAGAAACAGGTTGATCAACATCATTGATAACTAGAGGCAAAGTAACAGATGGATTACTTGAGTTTTGATCGTGACTTGGTTCAGAATGCGGGAAATTTGATTGGCCTTGAGTGGTTTCTAGTATTGGTTCCACTGGATGATGTGCTTTACTTCTCTGTTGATGTTTCCTCTTTGTATAAACCAGAAGCTCACTGTTTTTGTCCCTGGGGACAGTTTGTAGTGTTTCTCGCCCTGAAGTAGGATCATTCTGTATAGGCAGATTGGGTTGA